ATTTCCCCTCTTTCCCTTTTTAGTTAATTCAGAGAATTTTTGCCCATCGCCTCTCTCTGTTTCATGCCTCCTTCTCGTGGTTGTTGTCAGCTGCAGATCCTCAATTGTATAAACAAGTTTTTGTACCCAGGATATGAATGATCTGGGGCTATAGACTTGAACTTAAGGAGTGTAGTGACCGACTTCCTTTACAACTGTTCTTGGCCTTGGACTTCCACCCTCCTAACAAGCCTTCTTCTGCCCTTTCTAAGCAAAGGTATGAGTGAAACAGGCTGAGTCACTCTGCCGTCCTGCTGTTTGCCTGTTAACAACATACGGTCTTCCCTAATCATGTTCTTCTTGCTCTGAAAAGAGCCAAACCCCCTTCTGTTAGCTTAGACTTGTTTTTGCAAGCTTTAGCTCATACTTCTTTTGGTATTTGTCCCTGATCACCTTGCTAGAAACCAAAATTAGCTGAGACAACAGGATATCAAAAATAGACTAACATTTACAAAATTTCAAAGTTTCTCAATAGCTAGCTACTATTCCATGTTTTCTTCCACAATAATCCTGTGAATTAAGAGGTACAGTAGGCCAGATTTAAATGTAAATATATGTAAATAGATAGATACCAATATATGTAAAGAAATAAAGATCTGGAAGCACATGCATACACACATGCACGCACACAAATATTTATTTGAGGGAGATTGGTAAAAATTTTTGGTTCAAATAGTGGCAAAGAGAGTTTTAGAACCTATGATTCTTAAAATCCAAGACATCCAATCTATTGCTCTTTCAGTTGGTGTCACTAGATCCTAAACTAAGCAGATAATCTTGTTATGTGCTCCTTAGGATGGGTTATAAAAACACTCGCAGGCATTCTGTCTCCCTCGCTTAACCTGAAGTTGCTTCCTGTGGCTCTGAAATATTGAGCCCACACAGCTCAATCAAGGTTTTCATTTCTGGTGCTGACAGTATAGCATCATGCTCAGTACATGGTGAGTCACAAGCCCAGGTTTCTCTCCCAACACTGTCATGGCTTGACTGTGGGACTCTGGAAAGTTATGTAATCTTCACTTAGCATAGAATCCGAACAACTTCTCTTGGCCTTCAAGGCTTTCCATTCCTCCCCAAGCTCATCTAGGGCCCCCTTCCCTCCTTCTCACTCCACTCCCACCCTACTGGCCTCTGACAGTTCATAAAACTTGATGGGTCCTTTGCGTTTGCTGCCCCCCGCCTGACTCTTCATAGTGACACCTTCTGCTCTTTTTACCAGAACATAAAAGACACTTCTTCAGAGCAGCCTCCTCTGAGCACACCGTCTAAAGCAGGCCTCATTGTTTTCTATCACTTCATAGCACTCATCATATCATGTGAACATGAGCATCCTGTTTACTGTCTGACTTCCTCCTCGGCCAGTAAGGACACGGACTTTTGTTCACCACTGAGTCATCAGCACCTGGCACAATACCTAGATGGTAGGCACTTGACAAATTCGGGATGGATGGATGGATGGATGAACAGATGGATGGACAAGGCATATTTTTGCCATAGATACACGTCTATCTTTGCCAATTGGCATAAAGTCCATAGTGGTAGTAGCTGGCAGGGAGATAAAGCACTTAATGGAAGTGGGTTCTCTGAAAAGATCCTGGAAAGGAGTCCTCTGGTTCACAAGCATAATCTTGAGAGGAGCCGAGTAAGCTATTTGGCACCTCATTTTCTTAATGCCCCTTATATAATTTATAGAGTATATTCTGGTTATTAAACCAGCACATATTCACTGGAAAAATATATAAAAACTCAATTTAAAAAATAAATATGATTAGTACTCCAGTCACCTAGAGATAGGCACTATCAGCATTCCAGAATACATCTTTCCAGTCTTTTTTCTAATCACCTGTGTGTGTACAAATATATATACAATATACAGCAAGCAGCAGGATTAAATTAATACAGTATTTTGTGATCTGTGATTTTCACTTCTCAATATCATGTAACCATTTCTCTGTTTGATTAAATATTCTATATCATGGCTTTTACAGGTTCGTTAGTATCATATCATTTGGATGCATCCTTTATTACCCATCTTTCCAGTCTTTTTTCTAATCACCTGTGTGTGTACAAATATATATACAATATACAGCAGCAGGATTAAATTAATACAGTATTTTGTGATCTGTGATTTTCACTTCTCAATATCATGTAAGCATTTCTCTGTTTGATTAAACATTCTATATCATGGCTTTTAAAGGTTCGTTAGTATCATATCATTTGGATGCATCCTTTATTACCAAAACTTAAATCATTTTAAATTTTTTGTTATGCCTGACACTTCAAAGAACATGGTTGTCTGTAAATGTTACACATTTCTATCTGCCTTCTTAAAATAAAATCCTAGAAGTGAAATTGCTGGGCAACAGAGTACAAAGAACTATAAAGTTATTAGTGCATTGCCAAATTTTCCTCTAAAGACTGTATTAACTTACTTTTCCATTGGCAACAAGTGCAGTGTGGGGTCCCCCTACCCACACTCATCAACACTAAGTATAAACTTTAAGACACAAGGCACTTATTTTAATTCTTACTCAAGAAAACACACCCACTTTTGCCTGCTGCAATAGCTGCAACATTGAGCAGCACTTCTGAAATTATACTAACAGCTCAGGGTATAACTTGTAATGGGGTCTGAGGCTCAGTTCCTTAGCCACCTGCTAGAGTGGAGAGGAAAGGCGGGGAAGAACTCCAGAGGAATAGCTGTGGGGGTTCAGATGAAGTCTCTGGACTCAGTGGAGCCAGGAACTGCTGACATGTCTTTCTTGGTGTCCAGCATGGGTTAGTTCTCAAATCCAGTCCCACCTGAGTACAACTCTCAGTACCCCACTTCCTATGTAATGAAAACAGGGTTCTTTACACCCTTCTAGAAGGCAACCAGCCAGGGAGGTTCCACTTTTCCTCTGCCTGAACACAAACCTCTGATGGCAAATTCATACTAAAACAGACTGTCTCAGGACATCAAAAAGTCAGACTGCCATGGAAAGAGCTGTTATCTTTTTCATTTGTGGGTAATGTTTTGGTTTAGTTTTATATTTTAATGGGAAAATAGGCCTTCATTAGATAATCAGATATAACCACTCTATCTAGACAAGAAATAAAGAAGAATGCAGACCAATGTTGAGCCCTGTGTAGGAAAAGAACCGCTTGCTGAAATTAAGGCTGTCCAAAGTTACCAATGTGGTCACACTTTTTTTTGGTCACACTTTTTTTGTTGTTGTTTAGAAAAGAGGACTTAACCTGGAAAGCTGTGGTATTTATTTGTTAGTTGTTGTTTGGTATTTTTTAACTTCAAAAAATCCTTATAAACTTATGGCTTCTAAATCCTAGATCTACAGTAATTCTGCCTGCACAACCCCCCTTCGTTTGAATAAACACTGTACAATCTGCTGGATTTCTCTATGACTTTTTTTCATACTTGTGAATCTGTTTGGAAAGAAAAGAAAAAGGAAAGGGGGGAAAAGCCTTCTGTTTTTCATAATGTCTAATCTTTTTCCCCATTGGCATTCACCAGATGTTGCTTTGGATCGGAAGATAAATATTAAAATCTAAGCAAGAACAAAGTGAGCTGTTTACTGGGCAGATTTTTCAGATGTTCTCTTGAACACTTGAAAAAGACAGGAGATGCTTTGATATGCAGGCTGGCTGGAATCCACAATAGAATGGCCCCTCCAACAGCGCTGCGGGTCCCTCAGGCTGCATCCACCCGGCCTACACTTTCTGATGTCTCTGTTGGTCCCTAGGCCATGCATTTGTGGGGAGGGTCAGGGAGGGAGAAGACAGGGTTACCTGATGAAGAGGCCTGAGAACGACGGAAAGGTGGACTCTGTCCAATGATCAGGCACCAAGAGGGATTGGGAACTTCCTTCACAAATGTAGACATAAGGCCATGTTTCCAGCAGTCTCTTTGTCCCCACGGCAACAGTCAAATCACACTGCACGTAGGTATGGCTGCCGGTTTCACAGCCATCCTCCTCAGCCCGCAGGCCACACAGGAAAGCCAAGGACCCTGCAGGAAACAGTCATCGTGAGGTTAGGTAGCAACCACAGACAGAAGTGAAGGCCTCGTGTTGTTTCACAGATGAAGTCTCCATATCCTCCCTTGACCAACAGGAAAACGGCGTCATCAGTTTACCTTTTTAAAAAATGTCTTATGTATGTGTAATATTCTTCTTATCATTTTTGTAAAATATAAAGCATTATCATAAAAAAAAGCTCACATGAATCTACCAGCCAATGTAAGATCTAAAATAGTTGTAATGCTCTTCAATCTTTTCGCTTTTCCCCAAATTCATTCCTCTCTTCCTCGGTCTCAGGAATAACCCCTGGCGTGTTTTAGATCATTTTATCACATTTGAATTCCTCAACAAGACATTATGGAGTTTTACTTCTTCTTGAACTTTATAAAACAGAATACATGAGAAAATATTCTTGGACCTGCTTTTTTCACTCGATGTTATATTTCCGAGATTTATCCATATTATTGCGTTAACTGTTATTGATACGTTTTCACTGCTGCTCAGTATTGCATTGCAAAAGAATTCTGAGATGTATTTGCCCATTCTCTTAGCAATGGGCTTTTGGGTATTTCCCAGTTTTTGCTACTATAAACATGCACAATAGTTTCTCTAGGGTGCATGCCTATGAAGAAAATTGTTGGTTTAAAGGGTAGGTATAAACTCAACTTTACAAGATAGTGCCAGATTGTTTTCCAAAGCAGTTGTGCCATTTCACATTCCTATCAGTTATATTACTGTTCCCATTACTCCACATAATTGCCAGCACTTGGAATTATCAGACTTAATTTTTGCCAGTCCAGTCTATATAAAATGGTATCTCATTGTGGCCATAATTTGCATTTTCATCATTGCTTTTTAGGTTGAGCAATTTTTTTTATGTTTAGTTAATAACACATTTCCTTTTCTATGAAATTCTCATTCCTGTTATTTGCCCATTTTTCCATTGGGCTCTTTGTCTTTTTCTTATTCATTTCTGCACTTCATATACTCTGGGTACTAATCCTCTGGAGGTTATATGGATACTGGTACCTTTTCCAAGTTGTGGCTAGACTCTCCACTCTCTTTATGGGATCTTTCTGATTAACAGACATTCTTGATTTTCATATAATTATAACCATTAACATTTTTAAGAAAAAAAGCAAGCAACTGCAGCCCTTTGACCCTTGGACCATTTCTTTCTGGGTCATCAGACATATAAAAAGCACAATAAGGCAGACTGGAAATACTCTTTGACTGGAAGATGAACATGAGATGGTTTAGGAGCAGCGCTATATGAAAACCTTAATATAGTATAGTGGAAAAAAGGAAGATCTCTCTAACCTGCTCAATAAGGCAGACTGGAAATACTCTTTGACTGGAAGATGAACATGAGATGGTTTAGGAGCAGTGCTATATGAAAACCTTAATATAGTATAGTGGAAAAAAGGAAGATCTCTCTAACCTGCTACCTCTGCAGCTAGCCTGTCCCTGCAGGTACACAACAAGTGGGATCAAGGACTGTGGGCTTGAACCTATGCTTCTTTCCCCATCACAGAGCTGCAGGAAGGGCTAAGCAAGATGAGTACATGTGAGGGAATTTGTAGTTATGCAATCACACCCAAATATTATATTGCTGCTGTTACATTCCAAAGCACCTGACACCTAGGAGGGTCTCCATGAATGTGTTTCAAATGAATTATAGCAATAAAAATGACTGGCAGTATGACTGTCATATGGGTAGACAAAATATGAGAACTTTCCAGTTAGTAAGCCCTAAGGCAAATAAAAACAGGCTCAACACCTATAAAATAATGAACTCATTATAGGTGATTAAGTGGATGCAAATTGACAAGGTGGATTATGAAAAGCACCCAGGGCTGGGGATCAAAATCCATGCGCTTTACTCAAAGTTCTGCGACTTAAATAGCTGTGCGACCTCAATCACTTTAGCTTTTCACGCCTCATGGAAAAGTTAAAGTTTCCATTTAAAATATCCCATA